TGAATTTTCATTAGAATCGGTTAGGGAGAGATTAGATGACTATACAAAACACCTTATGGCTGATGTATCTAGTAAAACCGATGAACTAGCCCTAGCTGATGTTATGATAATGCTTTGTGCATGCCCTGCTAAACTTAGAACATTATGCATAGCTAATGGTAAAGTAACTGGCTACATGAAAAACCGAGGCCAGGAAGATATTTCACAAGTGTTTAGATTATTAGAAAAGGATGAAGAACAGGCTAGATAACTACTTACTTGGATTCAGGATGCAATTTCTTCTGGGAAGTTAAGAGATCCAGAAAGACTCAGAGCCAAGTAGTTTAATCGATTCCTGAAAAAATATAATGTACCACTGCTTCCTCAATACTTACACAAATTAGGGGCTGTGTTTGCTATTATATTACATAGTGCAAAGAATTTATCAAATACTATGACAATTGCCAGTCAAGCACTTCGCCACAATCCTGATAACCATGTCTCTCCTGCGCAAAACTATATGATAGTCAATTATCGAAAAAGAAGAGAACATTATGATTAGGCAAAGGCATTCAAGCTCTTCGATGAAAACTAATACCTTCTTAAAATAAATTTTCTTGAAGGGTGGGTTAGATGTCGTTTATTAAATTTATTTTTTCATTTGCCTAAGATATATCATACTATAAAATATCACAAAAATGACAACTGATCAAAAGCATTCATCGGATAGTACACTTAATGTGCCAGAAGATACCAGACGTATAGAAAAAATTGCTAAGTTATTTGGATTAGACGAGCAGAATATAGAAGTATATAAAGCGCTTTTTAGACAGATTTGGGAGCTCGAAAAAAAATTGAAAAATTATTATTCCAAATATGAAAAGCTTAAAAGGAGGGTCAATTTATTGGAAGCTGAAATAGAAGATTTGGATGAATGTGTAGATAAAGAAACTTTAGTCAGCTTAATACAAGAAATGGTTCCATCGCTAATTATTAGAAAATATAAGAAAAGAGGTTTACTTTATGAGCCCCTAAATAAATCTGACTCTAGTTTATCTGACTCTAGTTCATCTGAAGATTCTGAAATGGTTAAATGCTACTATCCTAAAAAGAAGGTACCGCAGAGAAATCAGGTAAATACAGATTCTAAATCTGCAAAGTTTAGAAAAATATATAATGAGTTAATATCTTCATTAAATAAACAAATGGACGGTTTCTTGGAGGACCACGTAAATTAACCATTGTCGCATCATCCTATAAAGAAATTTAGAAGGAGGAAGTCCGGAAGGCCAGGCACAATTGTTAAAATCTCACCCAATTAATACTAGTCTGGAGCAGAGATCATTAGCATTACGTTGTTCTAAAGAATTTTTTCTGATTGAAATATCTTCTAACTATATAAAAAATGAATGGAGTTAATTTACTAGACCAACTTCTGCCAGAAACTCAGAATATTTTTTATATTAAAAATATGGCATAATTATATTAGCAATAAACATAACAATGTGAGGATTGTTTAGTGATATATTTATAAGAGATACTATTAATTGGGTAGATTGGTCATCCCCTCCGAGCTCTCTGGTTTTAGAACCTAAAAAGGGTATACAAATACTAGCTCCCACACAAGGTGATAGCTTTGTAAGTGAATATATTAAAATAATAAAGCTATATGCTATTGCTATTGGCAAGGATTTAGATGATATAGATGTTAAAGTAAAATTTCTTTGTGGATTATTACCTGATAATGAAAAGCATGTAAATGAGTTTGGTGTCAAAAAACCTTTAACTGAAATATTTGAATACCTAGTTAAGTCTTCTACCAATCCGAAGTAGTAATCATCAGCTCGGGAATTTTTTTTCATTTAAAGATATAGTATATAATATGCACTATTTATGGCGTATTTAAGTATTATAAATTTACTAGAACTATTAGAGTGGATTCTATATTTCTTAGCAGTAGATAAGTCACTTTATTCCGCTCTATTTGTTTGCCGATTGTGGTATAAATGTGCTGTTCCTAGCTTATGGAAATATATTGAACTAAAGGGGAATGATTTGAAATATGATCATTATTTTCCAGATGATTATACTTATCATGAGAGAGATCATACTCGATGGAAAAGATTTATAAAAATAATGAATGAAAAGCATAAGCCAGCTTGTGTCTTGAATGTAACTTATCTAGAAATTACTTATTACCATTCACTATCAGATAACAAAATAAAAGGTATTGTAGATATTTTTCTAAATATAATTCATTTAGATTTCAAAGATAGCGTAGGTTTTAGCGATAAAGCGTTATCTATAATAGCAGAAGCATATCCTAATTTGAGATATCTCAATCTGTGAGATGCTCAAGCAATATTCAATAAAGGCTTATGTGCAATTGTATGATCATGTAAATTAGAACATCTAAATATTTCGTACTGCAGAAATATTACTGATAAATCTTTGTTTGAAATCGCCAAAAATTGTCATGATTTGCAAGAGTTCCATTTTGCTGAAGCACGTTGGATCACAGATAAATCTATATGTTGTATCTTAAACTCATGCCCAAATTTACGAAATCTTGATATTGCATTTAGCAAGGGGAAATCAAAGATGCTAGTATGTTAATACAGAGATGTCTTAGTATAAAGTATCTTGTCTTTAGTGGTGTTATGGCTTTTTGTAATGATGCATTAATTGTAGCTATCATCAGGGCATCTCCGAATTTAAGATATTTAGAGATCGGCTATAATGATATTGGTGATGAAGTCACTGAAGCGCTGGCTCATACATGTCATAAATTAGAATATTTCGACCTAAGTTGTTGTTTATTTGTTAGCAAACCATCAATTTGTAATGTTATTCATTCTTGCCCGAAACTCCAGCATCTTAACCTCAGCTTTTGTAAAATTTCTAATATAACTATCAAAGAAATTGCTCATTTATGTCTTAGTTTAAAATTTCTAGATTTGGAAAAGTGTAAAAATATTAGCAAAAAAACTATAAATCAGTTAAATCCAGATATTCATATAGAAAATTTTGATAAAAATTACTACTGTTCCGATTCAAAATCTTCTAGCTCTGAAACCAAATCAGAGTTTGAATCATCTAGTTCTGAACAAGAGGATGAAGTTATCTATTATAATAATCTTTTTCCTCCAATGATTATGGACTCACCTGATAGCCCGAATAATTTTATTAGCACATTTAGTGATTTTCTTAGACAGAATGGTGGTGCTAATAATAATTTTATTTCTGCATTTCTTAATCAGGAATTAGCACAATACTCTTTGGCTGAGCAATGGTACTCTACCGATCTAACTAATCTAACACTCTGAAGTAGTGAATAGTTATTATGTCAACCCATAATATAGCTCATCAGCTTGGAAGATTTTTTTGCTGAGCTACAATGCATGTACTCTTGTGCGACAAAAAATAGGTAGATCGCAAGACAGGTTTGATATTAATTCTGCAATCAATAAATAATTAATCTCTTAACTTTTTTCTAGAAAGTTCCAGTATAATACATATTACAAATCTTTGAATTAGCATTACTTAATATCTCTAGTGTTAGAATGAGATAAGAATAGAAGTTTGCGTCTCTAATTTGTGAATCATTCATGATAGCCAGTAAAGATCGATCAATTCTGGCCTATACTAAACAATTCACGAATGAACTGATCACCAAATCCAAAATTAGTAGAGTCAAAGACCCGATATTTTGTATCATCTAAAATTATTTTTTTTTAGTCAGAGAGATATACTATAAAATAAGCTAAGTATAAGGGATTTCATTATGTAAAACTTATCTGGTTATAATTGAAATATGTCTACCACTTCTACTTCTGCACCATCTACTCCTATTAATAACATCAAAAATCTTGCATATAGTATTTTAAAAACTCTAAAGGATAATATTGTTAAGAGTAAAAAAATTCCAAATCTAAGTAATTGTTCAGAATATAGGAAAGAAATTATTTCATATCCTCTTAAGGCATTTACAACACTATCTTGTGGACATGTGTTTTATAGACTTTGTATTGAAAAAAAACTTTTACATACAATTCCAAATACGTGTCCATTTTCTGGTTGTAGTGAGGAGGTTGAAATTATTGAAACGGGGCATAGAAGGGGTTCTGAATCAAGTACATCATCAGTAGTTAGAAGGATGAAAAAACATAGTATCCAATCTCAAGATTTGCCAGAAATTATAGAAGAAGATATGTCGGATATAGATGATAATGGAGACGATGAAGATAATCGTCCAATAGACCAAAGCACTATCCCTTCAGAAAAAGAATCCCGCAAAAGACCTAGTGAAGATACCACTAAAAATAAATCATTAAGTAAAAAACCAAAACAGAATAAAGAAAAAGGCAATAAAAAAGATTCTAATACTGTAAAAAAACTTATTATAGAATTAACATCCAACACCTCTGAACAAAACACAGATACGATAACTTCTTACCCAGTTACAGCTACCGAAACCGACCCACTGCCTATCGACTTTCTAAATTTATATACTAAAATTACCTCTGCTGAAAGTGAAATCCAAAAACCAAACCAGAATATAAATATCCAGTATTATAACTTTGGATTAGGTATAGCAAAACGCTTCAAGTTCTATTATGAAAAATCATATAATGTAAATGACGCTAATAGTGAAGTTAAAAAAGAAATCGAAAAACAACTTCCTGATGGTACTTCTGAAACTACTATTCGGAAGAGAAAAGAGAGGGCATAAAAAATTTTATTTTCTTAGTAAAAAAAAATAAATAAATCTATTGCATTAACTATTACTAAGTTAACTATGGATCAAATTAGCATTATATCTACATAGAAAATAATTTGGCAAAATTTCAGGTAGCATTGATTATAAAAATTCAATACGTCCAATTCAGACAATTTCTACGTATTGTAAAAAGAATATAAAATTTTATGTAACAATACTTTGTTAATATAAAATAGATAGCCAATCAAAATCATGCTTAATATCAAGATATCTAATAATTTTGTACGAGTTTACGCCGAATATGTCTCTTGTTTATAATGAAGTATCTAGACTTAATTTGCACAGTGAAGATAAAACAGCGCTCCGTATCATTTTTACTAATAATCCAAAAATAAAAGAAGAGGTAAACATGGTTCTTATGTCAATTGAAAATGATAATGAAAAGATAAGTTATTTGAGTAATTTTTTGCAAGAGCAAGGCAAGTATCGTGGCTTCAATCGAATATTTCAAACCTACACGATTTTTTTGCTGTCATTTTAATTTTTAACATGCACTTAATACTTAATTCATTATAGAATTAACTATCAAGCGCAAGAAAGTCCGTCCATGGAATGAAACTGAAGAAGATCTAGGAAAGTTTTGGAGTTTTTTAGTGAATGCTAAAATTGATAATAATTTCCTTCAGCTACCAGAAGGCGTCTACTTCTTGGGTGAGAAAGAGCAAGGCGCTATTTTATATATCCGTGAATGTTACCTCCACTTAGTTGATATTATCTTTAATGGGAAAATACGTCGTTGTCGTATTACTGGTAATCCCGGAATTGGCAAAACTTTTTTCGGCTTTTACCTACTTTATTTTCTTTCAAAACAAAATAAAACCATTGTATACCACAAAGCTTGTCAATATCCAATTCTCTTTAACAAGCAATATACCTTCCGTAGTGATAATATCTCTGACTTTAAAGAGTACTTGGATGATACAGATGTCTGGTATATTGTAGATGGCCAACCACCACTCCAAGTTCGTGCTAAGACGATCCTTTTCTGCTCTCCTCAAAAACGACATTACAAGGAATTTGATAAGATGGTTGGAACAACGATACGCTTTATGCCAGTATGGTCATGGAACGAGGTCAATGAATGCAGAATCGGTATGTTCGATCATCTCGAAGTAGCGAAGGTTGAAGATTTGTACTCACGTTGGGGAGGGATTCCTCGATTCGTCTTAGAAAAAGCTCTAGATTCTTCACAGCAAAATCATCTCGAAAATGCAATTAGCAAGTGTAATGCTAGATTATTAGAATTTGTTGGGGAAATTGACCATGCCGACGACGTCAGTCACAGAATCATTCACATTCACACGAATGTGGCCGGTGAAGAGGGAGAAGAGGATGAGGAAGCACCCTATATTAAAAAATTTATACTATTTGCATCTGAATGGGTGGCTGAAAAAGTTATGGACAAACTTGAAAGAAATTATTGTCAACAGTTAAGGAATTTTGTGACTGCAAGCTTGTCGGGAAATGAATACAATACGCTTCGGGGCGTCATATTCGAACAAATTGCACATCGAATTTTACAACGGGGAGGGACATTTGATATTCGTTCTTTAGAATCTGACTTTACAAGTACGATTGAAATTCCAGAACGGATTAAGTTATTATTTAATGACATTAATAAGATTGAGGAGGGCAAGTACTGTCAACCGATTCAAAAGAATTTTTCATCCATTGATGCAGTAGTTGCACCCCATACACTCTTTCATATGACCATAAGCAAGAATCATCCTATTAATGTGAGTGGCATGAAAAAGCTCGTTGAAAAGTTGGGTGGAAAGTCGGAAACAAATCCTATATATTTTTATTTTGTCTTACCGAAAGATTTATACGATAATTACCAAGCACAGCCTTTTTATACCAACGACAAAACTGTTGCTAAGAGAATACCATGTTGGATCACTAATCGTGTTAAGCAATACGCATTGAAAATTGACTTGAGTTCCTGGTGATAAGTTTACTTTACGGAATAGATTATGCTAATTTTATCATGTATTACAGACTTGTGTGATTTCTATTACTGCAGAGTTTAATAAGAAATATCTTTATTGCTCGAAAATCATTTTTTTTTTTTTTTAATTTTCTCGGTCTACAATAGCCGAGGCGCTGTTGGCGCTCTTTATTATTTATTCATTTTATAT